AGTATTTTATTAAGATAACTATATTATGTAATTTAAGCAAAGGTTAGCCGTTTTACAATCTTCCATAACGTTGAGTAATTAATTATGTGATGATATTAATTCTCGGTGATACTATGAAATATAATTTTCTAAAACCTTTTAAAGAAGTGAAAACATTTTTTTTTATAAACATCAAAAATCGAAATAGGTTAATATTAAAGTAAATATGTAAATATTAATATGTAAATTATACAATATTTATTAAACTAAATAATAACTGAAAGCAGATAATCAGATAATGTAAATTTTGAATAAACATATAATAGTAATGCATATTAAATAGCCAGTACCACCAATTTACTGAACAAACTAAATAATATCGAAAAAATCAATTTTCTGAACTTTGATTTAGTATTTTATAACAATAGACTGTAACGTTATATTTTAAGAGCTGCAGACCTGCCATTTTAATGGGATGCAAAATATATCATTATGCCTCTACCCCTTCACATACATTTTTACGCTGTTAAAAATAATTGAATACACTAATACACATCATACATATATGTATATGTGTGTGTGTATAATAAACAATGCTTAAATATTGCTAAATAAAAGATTATTGACAGTAAATACTCATATTTTACCTGATCATAATACATTACTACATGTGGCTGACGTGGCGTGTTGACTGCTACCAATCGCGTAATGTGACTGGGAGGAAGTAACGGCCACAGCAACTAGCTCCCGGATGGGTGACCACCCGGGTTCATGGTAGTTAAAAACCTTCCCACACATACACGTGTTTGCTACCTACCGTAACAACCGTAAAAACAACCGACCGTATCGTCCGTATCAAGAACCTTACCCCTACCACAGTTCATAACCCCTTCAACAGCTAATGGCCTCTTAGTTGCCAGGCTTAAGATCAATAATAATAAAAAAAAAAAATACATTACTACGATAATTATTGCATACATTTATTCTTGTTTTAAAGTTTATTCTTAATTTTATAACTGTTTAAAATGCATCAACATAAAAATCAATATTGTAAATAACATATTCATTTTATACTTATAACTCAAAACTTTTTAGGCCTAGGATATGTAATAATATAGCCTACTATCGTCATATTATATTGTATTTTTGTAGAAAATTTCAAAAATATAAAGAAGGGATCGTCAAACTAAATTATAGTAACATAATTTACTTTTAAATTCATTGTAGTTTTTTATTCTATAGTTAATAAACATGTTTCATTGATAAAGGTGAAGAGAGGTAGGTAATGAATAATGGAAATAATATTTTGCATTTCTTCCCCCTTCCAGCTTTTTCTTAATTACGACACTGCACATTGTCAATAGGTTGATGTTTATCAATAATGCATTAGCATAATATATTATAGTTCAAACTAATTTGTACTTTTTATACGTTTATTTATTATGTTATCACAATGCAAATAAACCTTAGTAGGTATTTAATAATAATTAAAATTATATTACAACACTAAAATATAATAAGTTAATCATACAAATTAATGATTTAATATTTTCAAATTTTTAATTTAGAATATACATTGTATTATAAAGACGTTAAGTAAATATCGTAAACCATTTTGAATTTTGAATTATTTTATTGCCCCTACCTATTAATATCGAGATATTAAAATATGAAATTTTTATATTTTATAATTATAAGTTATAAGTTTATAACCATATAATAATTATATGATACCCATAACCTTAAGTTACTATAATATAAAATATGTGTCGATAAAAAACGAGACAAAAAACAAATTGTAATAATCTATAGTTCAATTATTATTAATTATTTTATTTATTATTATTATTGTTTTCATTCAATAGACAAAAAATAACTTGCCTCGAGACTTATGAAAATATAGTATCAAGATGACTTTTATCGTGTCAAGACTTCGAGAGCGCATTCAACCGCATAAACTAATTGAAATAGGTAGGTCTCTCTGTTATAAAATACATACAATATACATATAGGTGGTTAGAACTTAACAAGAAATTGTTAACAAGAAAGCGATCATCGAGAGGTAATTATGAACTATTTTTATAACTTCAGAGACTAAAATGTACAATATGCATAGTATTATAATATACCTACTATATTATGTCTAAACAGTGCACATAATATATAATATCATAATACTCTGCAAATTCTAAATAAGAAATTTTGGACAGTACCTATATGGATGAAGGCTCGGATGAAAGCTTGGATGAAGGTATAGTATAATATTTGTGTATAAATAAAATATAGATTTAGACGAGGATTTAGATGTTACAAATTCAAATTTTATGATTTTACCTCGGCACCTCACCCAATGAATACTAAAATCCTGCATATATCAACTAATTAATTTTTTTTTTTTAATTTAAAAGTACGCAGCGTGATTTTTTACTACTAGGCTTTCCAACAAAAATTTGAAATTACATTCATTCTACCTCACCGCAATATAATGGCTATTGGCTATCGAAATTCTAGACGTGTAAATGTCATATATTATATGCTCTTACCCCTAATGAAACAAGTATTTATCAGGGTAATTATCAGAATCTACGAAACTCATATTCGAAATACATAATTAGTTTAGATTTAGTTTCCTATTAGACTATTGGGTAATTATAGGGATCTCGGAAGTAGGCATTATAATTACTAATRATTATGATAATTTATTACAACAATCTAACATGGTATTTTTTTTATCCTAATACAGTTTTGTATATTTTTAGTTTGTTCATAATCATACCATATAGTACCGTACCTACGTAAAACACACTCGTTAGTCATCAATTCAGAATTTATAAGACCTCCAATCCTACGTTTTCATTGTATTCTTGCACAAGATAAAATGGTCATGGTGCAATTGTCCATCAATGATGTACGTATAGGCACTATAATATATGCAGTTGCATAATGATAATATTAATATCAACGATCAACAAATGGCGTTCGTATTAACATTGTACAACGTAAATAATGATTAAACTATAACAGAATTTAATTGATAAAAACATAAAAGTATGACAAGTAAACGTAAAACTATATATAAATAGGAAACATAATAAAGCTTTCCAATAATTGTGTATAAAATTAATAATAACATGTGTAAATGCACATTAATATGATCTATAATCTCTCACTTATTTAGTATTTTTTATTATAAGTTAGATGTTACAAGTTTTTTCTTTCAAAATGTGTTTCTGAAGGTGGACGTAAAAAATTAAAATTTATTTTTACGATGTGCAGGAAATAACCAGTATTAACAGCATCATTATTGGTGATGACATGTATTTTAACTGGCTAATATGACTCTAGAGGCTCTAGACTAGATCAATAGGTTACATGATCTAGTATTGCAATATTATGTAGTTGTAATACTTATAGATTACCGGTACATATTAATGATTATTTATTACACGAAAATCACCACTTAATCCATGAAATTTATGATTAAATAATAGGTAAACCATCATTAAATGTTCCAATTTCTTTTGATTTTATCTAAAACGATATAAATTTGTTTACCTTGAACGATAAGTGTTTAMGTTTTATATACCCAGCCAATTTATAAAAAAAAGACCACACACGGGAATTATAAATTACAATGTAGGTATAGTAATATTTGAATAATAATATATACTAATAAGTGATTTGTTGTAACTACTAACTAGTTACAGTGCTTAAACTCGCGTAAGGTATACACCGGGGTATACATATATATACACCGCACTCACATTCTATAGTTCAGAGCGTAGACATATTTAGTCAATTAATTGAATTTATTTTTATTTAAACAAAAAAAAAGTCATGCGTAAAAGAAATAACAAATTTGTCTCGGATAAGCACGGCAAAAATTAATTTTCGTACTAACTGCTGGACCACATTGAATTGATGACTAATGAATAATAACAAGCCGAAAAAAGTCGATCAAATCAAAATATAAAATGTGATGGAGACGTAATAATAAAACAGCTAGTATCGACGAGTCGTGTTACAACGAAAGACAATTATTTACACATCGTGTGACTAAAGTCTACTACATGCAGTGTACAACTCAAATTTAATAATATATTCTCAGACCACTCGAGTTTTCAAGATGATCGATAAATTCGTCAACTCTGTCATCTCGGTTTTATTTTAAGTGTATACCAGTATACATATACCCCCTGAACAATATTTGATACCTACAAGTGTATATAATAATATATAGCCGTATATAGGTAGGTATTGTATGCATAAGTATAATATCATAGACGCTTAAATATATATTTGTTTGTAAACACGCGACGTGTCGCAATAGGTGTAGGTACCTATATGCCGTAATCAAAATCAAATTTCAGGATGTTAAATAAACGAACATACAAAGATTACGTTAATCTTATCCCAGCAGGCGACCGTAATATTGTAGAGGCTAAAGAGTTTATTATAACATTTATAACGATATAATAATGAGTGTATTATACAGTTAATTAAATATTATAAAATAATAATTTTGCAAAAAACTAATCATCTTAACCATATGGGTACTAAGTTATATATCATATTGTTTGTAAATCTAATCTTATGCCAGTATTAGGAAGTATTACGGATCTTTAGATATATGCAGCTTCGTAAGAACTATAATATACATGATGTTTATATCGTAAAAATCAGTGGCGCAATGGCGTATCTCAAGCTCGACTAGAAAATAGGGAGGGGGGTTAAAATGTTTTAAGCTCTTGAATTTTTGATACTGGCTCTAACAATGAGGGCCTCATTAAAATAAWAATTTTTCTTACAACAATAATATTTGTAGTATTTGATAGATGCTAATTTTACTATTTTGTTATTACATTATTTGTTATTCTCGACTTCGGGTATCAAACAAATACGTATGATAAACTCATTAGATATACCCCTGAAGGTGGTGCAAAAATGAMATATTTAATTTTTAATTCTAAAATAAGGTAGGTATAGGTAATATAATATACAWATAGATATGTACCACCTACCATCAAACTGTTCAGAGTAACTCCGCTTCTGACTTTGAGATACTTTTTCCGCAACACTCGCCAAACGACATAGGCCATCGCAACGATCCATATAATATAATAATAATATTAATAATATGATTACAGCGCAAGTGTGTACGGAGAAAAAAAGCGAAACGACGAGCCCGCGTCCGATCACATTTCGTTGGCGTTTTTTATATTATTATTATTATTGTAGTTAGTCGCGGATCCCCACCGCGATTCGTCCACGAACTGTACGAACTTTAACGATAATTTTGCCGATGTATAAAATATTATAACTTCATTGAGTCGGTGCTTAACACAATTAAAACACAAAAAAAACCACGAATAAACCAAAGTACGAACCGGAAAGAAAAACGACTTTAACGAGCGGCGGACGACTGCAATAGCATACAATAATATTATCGCGCGCACTTTTTTTTTCTTTTGATAACGTAGTCGAAAACCGGCTCGAACGTGTTGGTATACTTTTAACGGTTTATATTATTATTATCGAGAAAATCGCGAGACGAAAACACGTAACGTAACGTACCTACCTGACCGACGACCGACGACACCTGTGCGCGCGCGACGAGCGTTTAACAGAACGGACGACGGTGGCGTCCGACGCGTATATTGTGTGGTAATGCGTGTGTGGTTGCGGTTCGTGGTCGACGCAGATCACGTGCTCCCACGGCACGGCGGCGGGTTTTTTTTTTGGGCGGGGGCGGTGGTCGTGCGGGGGAAACAATAATCAGCGGCGGCGGCGGCGTCGTCGGGCGGCCCAAATAAAATTATTTACGAAAACGCGTTAATAATAATGATGAGTATAATATTAATATTGTAATGATAAATCATAGAATATTATATTATGTAAAAAAAAAAAAAATTACGTATCGAATTATCGCCCAGTACGCGCGAGTTGTGCACATGGCGCATCCTGTAAAACAATGGATTACCCGATTACTGCGATAATAATTATTCTGTTGTTGTTATTATTATTGTTATATTATATACGCGACGCATTGTCACATTGTAAGTCATATAATATTATGATATTATATGTTTTACGCAATTCACTGGAAAATAATAATAATATGATATGTATGAATCGTCTTTTTTATGCATTTTAGGCGATAATATAAATTATAATATAGTATTATAGAATATATATGTATATTGTATACGCCTTGACGCCATGTATAATTGTTTATTGTTTTCAGTACGGCGCGTCCGACCACGACTAAACTATGGTGTCATAAATCATAATAGCGCTAAATTGGAGCAATTTTACATATAATTTGAGGAAGGGGTTGGGAATATATATACAATGACCGACCTCAGCAATGCTGCGTGGAAATATAGGTTAACATTTTACTGCGACTATCCATTTTAATAGTAAAGCCTATACCTATACCGGCTATATCTATAGACTATAATTTAATATATATCATAGTRACGAGTGGTGTAAAATGATTACGTTAATAATTTTTTTTCGAAGAATATTCTACAGAATAGAAAATTATTTGATATTWCTAGCTATAAACAAAATATGTATAAAAAAAAGCGTTCAAATTTTTAAGSAACATCATATAAGATTACTCATAATGGCGTGTTGTCGTGTTGATAATCGAGTATCGACACACTGTATTATAATATTATTAACATCATATAAGATATATAAAATACTCTACATGTTGAGACTTATTGCTATACAGTCATTAAATAAAAAAGTCATACACATCAGTACATTACCCATCTTTAGATATTACTACTGTTAAAAAATATAAAAATTAAAAACATTTAGTTTAGCTTTTAGTTTCTTTATAAATTATAGCATTATCCAGTCATTACTTATTACTTATTAGTCATCAGGGTAATTTATGATAATTACATTTTTAACTGAGTTATAAACATTTTTAATTCACGCGTTACATTATATATACGCACTGAACAATAATGAACTACTAAAATACGCACTAAAAATTTGATTAATAAAAAAACCCACATACAAACACAGATCATATTCTATTCCCATCAAGTTTTACAAGAGTTTCAATCTCATTTTTAAACTAACGAAGCTACACGTGATCTGCTGATCGTACATTTGGTATGTTACGCGTTTATAATAACAATAAGACAATAAGGCTGAGACAACGATTATTAATGCCACTGCTATGCTCTTTTAATTATTATGAAAGAAAATTAGGCAGTGCTAAAACCCAAAACTCGATTTTTGGATGATAAAATGTTTAGTATTAAAAGTTTCCGTTCAGTTTTCAACACAAGTTTTAGAATTAAATTTATAGAACTGAACACTTAAAATAATAAATTATTTTACCGAACAGAAAAATGAAAAAAAGATTGGTTTATACCTTAAAGGTGTGACACAATATTCACTAATTACATCACTGATAAGGTATCTACATTTGGGTAGGTACGTACATAATATRGGTACCTACCTATTTATAATATATTATATGCCTATCTATTATGCTATAATACAAGATGCATATTATGCACTTAGCCTTACATTTTTATGAAATAGCCCATAGCCTATATTATGTAAGTTGCAGGATGTTGATACACCTAGGTAATTTGTGTAGTTAGTTCGCAATAACATATTTTCTTATATTATACGTAATTTTTTACACCATTCGGCTCAACATTAATTTGATGAATGGAATAATGGAAAATGAAAATAACTTGACTTTAAAATGTTATCTGTGTAAGTATGCACATGGCATCATCTAAACACGATATAATAATTCATAATTGCATAGGTAACACGCATTGATAATATCATTATTTCGACGACTGCGGAGTGAGCCGGAAGGTCTAATCTAATATCCACCTATTACCAGCTATACAATATATTATATTTTATCTTTATTCTTAAATGTGTTGGAAATCTAGATTATAAAAATGTTATAATAAGAGGTTTTTCCCAGTCTCTCAGTATAAACAGTATAAACACGGATAATGCATGGAACATTGAATGAATTTGATGATCTTCCAACTGCGAAAACTGCTAACGAAAACTAGAAAACAAAAAAATATTTAGTATATTATTTTTGCGATGACTCACTGTGACTGTGAGCCACCAGTTTTTTTTTTTTAATAATCTCAAAAATTAATCAGATACCAATATTTATCATTTAGGTCTTAGTAAGGATTCATTTACTTTTTAAAAACACGACGTTAACAATAGTCGATAATTATTATTATTTTAAATTGGTACTAAAGTATTTAATTATTTTAATTATCGGTTAAGATTAACAAATTTTATCATGCACACAATAAGTGATGTGATTTAGATACATTATACAATATACCATAACGTCCATAATCTTATAAATTATAACAATACCTAATCACTCAATCAATACATAAACATTATAATAAATATCTTATATGTATGTATAGTATGGTATAGTATGTAACAAAATATTTTAGTTATTACCTCTGCATTTGTTACTCATAAATTTAAACTATATAATTATRAATATAGAAAAGAATAATATTTTTATAGTATAAGGTATAAGGACGTAAGTATTGTATGTATATAAACGGTATAACCAGCGGCAGTTGGCTAAAAACATCTGCGCGGGAAATTAACGCGTGACAGGCGCATCCAATACATTAGGTAATTGATAATCAAAATCAATTTCTATAAATAAGTTTTTTTAATTTTAGAAATTCTCTGATTTTTAATTTATTATAATATTCCTAGGAGCGAACACCGTGTGAGTATTAAATAACTTTTTTATTTCATTAACACATATCTTATGAAATAAAATTAAAAAACACTTACAGAAGTTTCTTATAATATGATATAGGTACTAGYAATTTTTAATATTCGGTTAAACGTCTGAAAGAACTAAAAAGTGAGCTTAAAAATCACWCGTGGAAAAAAAAATTGTACCTAGTATAATGTGTTAAATTGAAATTCAATGATCTTTTACCATCGCGCATGTCTACGAATTTTTCGGTTTTGAGCGAAGAAGGTCTATATTAGCATAATATATAAGACGTATATTTTATGATATAATATTTATTGATATTTTTGGTTTTAATTTATTATCAATGATATTATAATAAGTATACAAAATTATAGTAGCTGAATCTCCTATGTAGGAAATCTAACCTCATCATGTTCCTAATCTACGACACCTGTAGGCGACAATGTCACTACATAACCTACCATTGTTTGTCCGTATAATAGGTAATATAAAATTAATACTATTATTATTTAAAGTAATCTATTTTWCAAATTACAATGCCTATTACGATAATTTATATTAAGTAGGTAAGTTGAATTAACTTTTTTGCTTAAAAAAAATTAATTGTTTATTGTATAAAGTATAATCATATATTTTAAAAGGTATAAGTGCCCACGGAATAATATGTTTAAATTACAATACTATATACAACTAAAATTAGTAAAATTAATCTTATTCTTCGTTAAAATATCATCAGAATTTTAAATTAAACACCTTTAAAAAAGCCGTGTTTTCGTGTATATTAAATACAGAATTGATCACTATTATTATTATAGAAGCTTTGTTTAAAAATTTCCAATCTTTGGCTATACAAATTCAACATTTTCAATTACAAAAATGTCTATATTTTAGTGATTTAATGAATTTTGTCAAAATTTTAACTTAAAATGCTTATATAAAAAAAAAATCTTTACATATGTATTTGTATTGTATTATCATGTAGGTATCTTCAATAATATTGAACTGCTATTATAAAATCGTATGTGGACTGTGGAGCCTCGCATATTGAATAAAAATTATTATATTTTCAAGTTTTTCAACTAAATGAAAAATTATTCATCTACAAAATTGAAAAAAAAATAAAAAAATTCTCATGTCTATGAATAACTCAAAAAGATTCAAAATATTTTGAACATTTTATCATTTATGGAAAACGGTCATACCTATTACTCGTATAAACATTTGGTGTCTAGGTGAACATTTAAATTATTCATGGTTTTAAGTTTCGAAAAATAATAAAAATCAAAAACTTKATTAAATGCTCGTATAGTTTACTATTTACTCAAATAATTTTTAATTCGTGTAGGTGCGTGATGTGTAGGCTCAGAGTAAATTGATCAATTAGGAACGACTGGAACTTTTCCGTATATCGGTGAAACAGTTAAAATATACAAAATATATTATTTACAAAAAAAATGTGACAAATAATATGATTAAATTATAGTATTAGGCATATGCGTTTAATAGAATCCTCAGGAGTCAGGACATCATATAATGTACAACACTAAATTTTATACAGGAATATACGTACAACCTACTCAATGGATAAATAGTTGACTTTATGAGTTATCCAAGACTTAACTGTGCAATAAAAATTCTTATACTTTAAATTATGCTGTAATTAMGTTTGTAAGTTGTATAGTTTACTTGTGTAACGTATTATGAACGTCTCCATCTGCAGCRTTGCAGAAAATTATCTAAATAAAAATAAAATATTTATTTTTCTGAGACCCTTTATACGACGAGTGTATAGTATACACTGTATACGTTATATTTATATAGGTACCTACAAAACCGTTACCCGTCCACTTTCTCATCAAATGGCAAT